AAAAAAAAAAAAAAAAAAAGAAACTCAAGCAAGGAAGAAACTAAGACCAGTTTGAATAAAGAATGAGAATGAAGGAATGTAAAATGCGGTCTAATGAATCTGTTTCAGAGTCCTGCTAAGCACTGTGAGACAAGAGGGTTAGCACAATCCTAAGCAGCCAGGAATTGCTATCTTTGGAAAAAGACCCTGCTTGGTCTTCAATGATTTATCTCTTGGCAACACAGGGACAAAGGAAACGAGTACATTTCCATTTCTGATTTCTAGGGCTCAGGTGAAGAATCTATTAATATGCATAAAAGGCCAGATGGATGGGCCGAGGCCTGGAGCACAAAGGTTAGTTTTGGAGCGACCATCTGGGGCTTGTTCTTATGCCTTGGTGAAAAAGCCAGTGAGAGCCCAGAACACAACACAACCAATTAGGAAGGCAGTAGCTGGAGGCCTGCTGGCTGTCAGCCTTCCACTGCTACAGAAAAATGCTGGTTTGAAGAATGGAAAAACTTATCAGCAATTTTTAACTCTTCCTTATTTAGTTTTCACAAACAACTAGACACGGTTTGGCAATTAAAAAAGTGGCAGAGAAGGTAAGACTCATCCACATAGACGTGTGCCAGTTCCACAGAAGTTTTCTGAACACCCTCCTTCCACAGCAACATCTGGTATCTTGTTCCTGTGGTAGGCCAGGAGAGAAACCTGCTTCCTGGCACCCACTGAAGTAAAGACCAAACTACCCCCAGCAGAGTTTACCAAATACCACGGCAAGTTGGTATCAATCAGTATTACCCTCCTTCCTGAAAAGTCCATATGAAAATTTCAGAAATGCCAAGTTTCTGATGTAAAAATAAATACCTCTATTATCGGGATAAAGGGACAGGTTTTAGTGTCAAAATAATTTTAAATGTCAGCTCTTACTACCCTTTGATTTCAGGCAGGCTACCTCACCGCTCTGAACTGCCATCTCTCCCTGTGAAATAATGATAACAATAAAGTTTCTTTATGTTAAAAGCAGATTAAAGAAAGAAAAAAATGTACACAAGAAAGCGTAGTTCACTCTGTGTTGTTATCCAAGTATTTTGTTCACATGTGTCTCCCGAGCACCAGCTCTGAGCCGGGCACTCCTGACATAGCTGTAAAACATACACAGCATAATAGCTTATAATTAGCAACTAAAATACAGAACAATAAAAACAATAAAATTGCAAAATAGAAAAAAAACTATCAGTTTTAAAACCCCCATAACCCTACTGACCATATATAACAAAGTTTAATATTTCGATAAATTTCCTTTCTACAATTCATTTTGGACAATAAAAATTTAGATAAAGCCAAAGCTTCTGAAAAGTACAAATCAACTACCAGTAACACAATAGTGGGCTTTCTTTAGGAAAATATTACAAATATTTGGAAAATGATTTTTGTTAATTTTCTATTGCTCTTTTATGCATACATACAGGAGTGCACATTCAAATTTTTTTATTACAAGATTATTTTAATTTTGAAATAAATGAGTCAAAATGTTATGATAAAATGGATTTACAAGCAAAAAGATCTCAATGTGAATCTAGGCTCTGTCCCTAACTAACTGTGTGATATTGGAAGAATTTGCCTCTCTCTAAGATTCACTTTTCTCATTTTCAAATTTGGTGTAACTATACGATGTATAATTCAGTTATTATAATGTCTAAAAGAATACAAACTCTTGACTAGTTTATAAAATTAATAAATAGTTGCTTCAGATTTTATGGTGAGTTTATGACAACTGCACAGCTGAAATTTTAAAGTGCATGCTTTGACCTAGGCAACCAATGAGAAAAATAAGTACATTTTAGATAAGTTTATATTAACAGCAAAATGATAGCACAGAACAGGGTAAATTTAACTACTGCAGAACCCATCTTCTTCTTCTAAAACCTACTTTCAGGCACAATTGAATTGGAACCAACCAGTAATGAAAACTTTTTGAAAAAACAAATACAAATAGTTTTGTACATTTTTGACCATAGAAGAAATTCAAGATGTACAAGTGAGAGGTCAATTTTTGTGTTTGTTCATGGTTTGGTTAGTTTTGCGATCAATCAATGTAACTATCCAAATTTTTATGTCATAATGCCAAAACAAAACATTCTTTTGGTTTAAATAATGAAGAAATTGGGTTATAGATAACTGGGAAAGTATGCTGAACTTCCAACTTGAGGAATGGTGCTCAGCCCTAGAGAGAAGTGATCTATAACTAAAAGTGCCCTGAAATGAGACACCTTCTCCTTTCCCTTTCTTTTACCCAAAACAGGAATAGAGATAATAAAATAGAGATTACAGAGATAGATCATCATAACCACCTATTGCCTCTAACCAAAATACTTTCCCTCCATTGCCAAGAAGTTTACAATTTTCAAACCTATGACAGAAAATGATATCTCTGCTCAGCCAGATATTAGAACATCTTGGGTTCTTTCCAATCCCACATTAGTAGGAATTCTAGAAAGCTTTAAAGTCTATGTTATTTCCTACTTAGGCCATAAATCTGTCCCTTGGAATTCTAACCATCATCTCCCAGAGCCTACCCTTGTGTTCCTAGAATGTATTCAGTTTGGGACTTTATTTTAAAGAATTGCAATTTACTGCCCTAGATTGTGTCTTTCCACATAAAGTGTTAGTGCCTAAGAGTAGGGCTGTATCTTTTACTTTGCTTCTGTGCCCCGTGGTACATACCATCAAGCAGGTTTGATGAATTGATGGTAAGGTTATGAGATTCTCCATAGGTAAGTAAGCCAGGTTTGTATGGTACACATGCACATGATATGAAGAAGAAATCTGGGTCATTCAATTTGTAATTCCAAACTTCCTGGAAAAAAAAATCCTTAATATCATTTGATAATCTATGTTAGAGAAAGATAAAATGACTCTCAAAATGTGACTTATTTCCTGCTAGAAGGGATATCAGCCTATCCAAAGTCCTATTCTTCCTCTCAATTCTTACAGGTGAGTGTTGCATAGTCTCATAGACTTTCATTCTGCCATTAATTTCAAGGGTTTTTACTAATAAGCATCTAGTTATTAAGAACCATAAAAATAAGTTAATATTAATGCTTTACTTAAGCCTACTGAATGCTTTAAATATTTTACAGAAAAAAAAATGAAAAAAAACACTGATCCCCAATTGATAGAGCACCTACCACCTATCATGGACACACACAAGCAGGGGCACATGTACAAGCATGTAATTGGATTCCTGCTTAAGAGTGAGATTGACTGGACTAGGTGGGTCTTGAACCCTCCTCAGTGTCTGAAGCAGTTTTTAAAAAATACAATTAAGAAATAAAGATGCTAAGACCCATTTATATTCTAATTTAGATCAAAATCCTTGTAAAAATGCCCACTCTGCCACCATTTCTCATCCATGAAACTGTCTGTGAACCAAACAATACCGGTGTTATCAATAACATAGAAAAATTAAAATCATCATACACTGCTAGTGGGAATGTAAAGTGGTGCTGCTACTTTGGAAAACTGTTCAGCAGTTTCTCTAAAAAGTGAGGTACAGAGTTACCATATGGCACAGCAATTTGACTCATGGGCATCTATCACGAATGGAAAAGAAATGTCCATATAAAGATCTGTACATAAATGTTCATGGCAGTGTTATTCATAATAGTCAAAAAGTGGATTTAACCCACATGTCCATCAAAATGCAATATAGTCACATGTCTTAATTTGTTTTATGTGACTATAACAGAATACCTGAGACTGGGTAATGTATAAAGAAATTTATTTCTTACTGTTTGGAGGCTGGGATGTTTAAGATCAAGGTGCCTACATTTGGCAAGGGTCTTCTTGTTGTGTCACTCTTGGCAGAAGGTGGAAGGGCAAGAGATTGTGAATTGCAGGAAAGAGAAAGAGTGAGAGGAGGATGGAGAGAGCCAAACTCATCCTTTCACCAGGAACCCACTCCCACAATAATTAACCCACTCCCCTAATAACGGCATTAATCTATTCATAAGGGCAGAGTCTACATGAGCACATGACCTAATCACCTCTTAGAAGATCCATCTCTCAATACTGTTGCATTGAGGATTAAGCTTTTGACCTATGAACTCTGAGGAACACATTCAAATTGTTAATTTGCCAAGACTTCAGGGGCTTGCAATACTATTCATCCAGAAAAAGGAATAGAAGTCCTAATATACTCTAAAACAGGATAGACCTCAAACAGATTATACTCATTAAAGAAAGAAAGATAAAAGAATACATATTATATGATACATGTATATGAAAAATCTGGAAAAGGTAAATCTACAAAGACAGAAATTGTGGTTGCATAGAGCTGGAGACGGAAATGGGTGGTGAATGTCAATGGGCAAAAGTCTTCTCATTAAGTGTGACAGACATGTTCTAAACCCAGAATGCCTCTTCTCCTCCAAAGGAACGCAACTCCTCCCCAGCAAGGGAACAAAACTAGATGGAAAATGAGTTTGATGAATTGACAGAAGTAGGTTTCCGAAGGTGGGTAATAACAAACTCCTCCAAGCTAAAGGAGTGTGTTCTAACCCACTGCAAAGAAGCTTAGACCCTTGAAAAAAGGTTAGAGGAATTGCTAACTAGAATAATTAGTTTAGAGAAGAAAATATGACCTGATGGAGCTGAAAAACACAGTACAAGAACTTCGTGAAGCATACACAAGTGTCAATAGCCAAATCAATTGAACATCAACTCCATGAAATAAAGCATGAAGACAAGATTAGAGAAAAAAGAATGAAAAGAAATGAACAAAACATCCAAGAAATATGGGACTATGTGAAAAGACCAAACCTATGATTGATTGGTATACCTGAAAGTGACAGGGAGAATGGAACCAAGTTGGAAAACGCTCTTCAGGATATTATCCAGGAGAACTTCCCCAACCTAGAAAGACAGGCCAATATTCAAATTCAGGAAATACAGAGAACACCACAAAGACACTCCTGAGAAGAGCCACCCCAAGACACATACTTATCAGATTCACCAAGGTTTAAATGAAAGGAAAAATGCTAAGGACAGCCATTCAACATTCTTAAAAGAATGTTCTACCCAGAATTTCATATCTAGCCAAACTAAGCTTCATAAGCAAAGGAGAAATAAAATCCTTTTCAGACAAGCAAGTGCTGAGAGATTTTGTTGCCAAAAGGTCTGCCTTAAAAGAGCTCCTAAAGGAAGCACTAAACTTGGAAAGGAACAACCAGTACCAGCCACTGTGAAAACATACCAAATTGTAAAGATCATCAACACTATAAAGAAACTGCATCAACTAACCAGGAAAACAACCAGCTAGCATCATAATGACAGGATACAATTCACACCTAACAATATTAACCTTAAATGTAAATGGATTAAATGCCCCAATTAAAAGACACAGACTGGACAACTGAATAAAGAGTCACGACCCATTGATGTGCTGTATTCAGGGGACCCATCTCATGTGCAAAGACACACATAGGCTGAAAATAAA